GTAAAGCCGGGCCTCGATCACCTCCCCGTAGGCGCCTTTGCCGAGGCGTTTTTTGGCGTCGCTCGAGACGTAGAGCCGGTCCCGCGCGATAAAATAACCCGTCGGCAGCTCCGGGACGATCTCCCGCAAGGAAAGATGCGGGGCCCCCAAAGGGCGGTACAAATGCCGCGCCGAGCGAATGGACCGCAGCGAGGCCGACGGGGAGCTCCGCGCGGAGTTTAATTTCGCGGCAACTCCCCCCCCGCCGCCTCCTTCCGCGGGCGGTTTGGCCTCGGTTGTCAGGCTCGGGGCCGCGGGATGGCGGAGGTGGGAAGGGCTGAGGGCCTCCCCGCCGGGGAGACTTCCCAGGGAGCGAATCGTCGGCACCATCGGGATTACCCCGCCGCTCGCGTTGACGGTGCGCGGGGGGAGGTGAATTCGATCCCCGCCTAAACTCGCGTTTACAGCCCCAGTGCCATTCCCATTCAGATGAATCGGGGGCGAGTGAATCGGGGCACGCGGGGGGAGAAGGGGGGGGCTGGGAGTAGGAGCCGCCCCTCGCGATGGGGGGTCGTCGACGCCCGCCCCGGCCGGGGCGGGGATGGAACGCCCTGGGTACAAAGGAAACCCCCCTGACGGGGCGGCCAGGACCTCGCGCGCAAAGTCGGGGGGGAAATCCGTGGAAAAGGGCCCGCCCTCCTCGCTGCCCTCCCCCCTGGGACTCCCCGCGCATAAATGAGGGCGACGGGAGATCCCCGCGCAGGCCTCCATCACGGCCCCCGCGCGAAGGTGCTCAAGTGGCATCCCCATAATATCGCTACAGGGATGGATAAGGTGGTAGGTATATATAAATAGATATAAATGTGACAATGTTTGTGTGACAATGTGTGTGTGTGTGTGTGTCTGTTACAGCGTAACAATGTGTCTGCTACAGTGTACTACGGTGTGTGTAAGTTACAGTGTACTACGGTGTACTACAGTATGTGTGTGAGTTACAGTGTGCTACAATGTGTTACAATGTGACTATCTATTACAATGTAACAATGTGTCTGCTACAGTGTACTACAGTCTGTCTGTTAAA